TGTGGTCATCAAATTCAAAATGGCCAATACCAGTGCATTTCAGCTCACTAATGCCTAAGATATTGATGTTTATGAGTTCCATTTCATTTTGACAATATCCAGTTTTCCCAGATTCATACTTTGTACATTCCACATTCCGATTTTCAGTGGATGTTGATAGCTGTTTCTTTTCATTTTGAGCTGTGCCCCATCAGCAAATGAAGGTCCCATGGGCTTTACTCCTGCGGGCTTTACTCCATTCACGTTATCATGGTCACCTGTACTTTGAGGGGGCAGCTCTCTCCCAGTTGTGTTTTAAATGCCTTCCAACCTGAGGGGCTCATTTGCTGGCACTATATCTGACAGTGTTTCTCAGCTATTCATAAGGTTTTCAGTGACTAAATATTCAGAAGTCATTCGTCACTCCCTCCTAGTCTGTCTTCGTCTGGAAGCTCATCTGAAACCTGTCTACCATGCGGTGACCCTGCTGGTATTTAAAATACCAGGGGCATAGCTTTCAGAATCACAGCAGCTCACAAGCCCCCACAGTATGACAAACTGACAGGCTAGTGGCGGTCTGTCACCAAGGCCATGTTTTCAAATGACTGATGCTTCCGCTTTGTTTCCAATTTTTATTGCAGTCCAATCACCAGAAATTATCAATGTATCTTGATTGCACGTTAGATCAGTTTTAACTTGAAGAAGTTGGTAAATTCTTCCATCACCTCATCACTGGCTTTCGTGGTCTGTGCATACATTTGAGTAGTGTTGTTAACTGATCCTTCTTGTCGGGGAATGGTAATACTTACTGTCTCAGGTTGGCAGCATTTTGTTTCAAGATGGAGCTTGAAATGTTCTTTCTGATGAAGAATGCACTGCTGTTCCTTTGTAGTGCGCCCTTCCCTGCTCAGTAAACCATTACACGCTCCCGTCCATTTAAGGTCACCAGAGCCTAGGAGATCTCAATCTTCAGTTGTTACATTTCTTTTTCCTTTTTTTTTTTACAATTTCTGATTTTTCTAGATTCATACTTAACTATATTCCTATTCCTCTTATTAGAAGATGTTTACTGTTTTCCCGTTCTGAGTTTCTGTACTCCATGCACTTCATTCTCAGCTGTACTCTGAGGAGACAGCCTTTCCCCAGTCGTACTTTGAGATCCTTCCAACTTGAGGGGCCTGTGTTCCGGCACAAAATCAGGCGGCGTTCTACTGTTAACCATACGGTTTCCAGTGGCTAGCCGTTCCGAGTGATCTTCCCTGCCTTCTTCCTGGGCATTCATAGTCTGGAAGCTTAGCTGACACCTGGCATCTGTGGACAAGCTGGCTGGCATTGGTTAAAAATGGTGGCATATTTTGCAGCGTTTCAGCAGCACACCAGCCACCACCATAGGACAGGCGGGACAGAGACACGGTGGCCTCACTAGCATACCTGCCTTTAATGCTGCTTCATTAGCTCCTGTTGTTGTTAAGGTGGTGACGCATAGCGATGCGGTGTGGGGTTTCCAGGACTTGGATGTGGTGCTGCCGGAGGATAGGCGCTGCACTCCTGGGAAACCCTATACAGGGTCACTGTGGGTCAACACTGACTCGATGGCACTTCACAGAAACAGCATAGGGTGTGCAAGCAGCAGCTGGTGGGTTTGAACCTCCGACCTTGTGGTTAGCAGTCCAGTGCTTGTCTAGTGCTTTATCCTACAGTGCCACGTCAGGGCTTCCGGCATTGTGGAAGTCAAGGTTTACAGTACATAGGATCATTACGTCATCTTATCGAATGAGGATACTTTGATCATACAGAGGATCAGGACCTATCCATGTTAGCACATACAGAGGACTCCAGAGAAAGATGATGGAAAACTTGGGTTGAAAGACAAAAAAATAAATATAAACTGTATTTTACAACATAAAGTTCAAGACACGTTTGTTAGCAGTGTTTCCAGCCATTTAGTTCATCCCCAAATAATTGGGGGAATTTATCCACATTAGTGCGATCTTTGTTACTTTATGAACTGAGGGAAACTGGATGCCCTTTACAGATTTTTACACTTAAGAACTAAAGTAGTCAGGAGGAAGCAACTCAGGGCAGTAAGGCAGACATCTCCTTATTTCCCTGGAAACTCTCACTGTCCTAACAGGGAAGGCCTTGCTGGTGAAGCATTCTGGGACATTTCTCAGCTAAAGCTTTGGCTGACTCTCTTAAAACACGTTCATAAAGCTCATGCCAGCATTCTTTGGCCCTCTGCAAAGGCAGCAAGCACAACGCCTTGACCATCCCAAAAAGCTGTCTCCAGGACCCTTGCTCTTGACTGGACGGCGTTTTCTCTGGCTGTACCACGTCCACCTCTTGGTAACCGTTGGTCTGATTGTGCTCTGTCTTTGGAATCGTACTGGTGGAGGCATGTTTCATCTCCTGCTACAAGTCTTCCAAGAAGCGTTTCAGGGTCTTGAGACCACCTGTTTACAGTTCCCATTGGCAGCCGTGCTCCTGTCTGCCGCTGATGTGGACCTTGCAGTTTGGGCACCATTGAGAGGACAGTCTGCAGCTTTCATTTTCAGTCGGAATTGTATAGGCTGAACAGTTGAGATGTCTGTGGTATTGGCGCTTGTATCTGCAGGTCATCAATAGTTATGTTGTATTTAGGACCCAAACATTATTAATTGTTTCTTTACAAATTGATGTGAATTGTTAACAGCGCCTTGTCCCTTCTCAAGACAAGTTACCTATTTGTAAATTTCAGCATTCTTTGGGGCGCTGTGCCCACAAGCTTTTCATAAAGCATCATGGATTCCACCATTCTTCCGTGCCAACTTCTCCATGAATATGTTGGTTCTGGTTTCAATTTTAGCAGAATTCACGTTGTTCTGTTCGGGGCTCTTTTCAAACTGATCTTAGTGCCACAAACCAGATCTTCTTCAGACATGTGATAACAGATTAATGCAAGTTTATTTGGCTGTAAAAAATTAGAATTCATGATATGCATTTTCTATGAACGTTTTGAAGTCCTCTTATACATGTGCAGAATATGGTATGTGCACACATATGTGTGCATTGTTGTTTAGTGCTGTCAAGTTGGTTCCGATTCATAACCACGCTGCATAGGGTATCCGAGGAGCGACTGGTGAGTTTGAACCACCGACCTTACGATCCATTGCTTATCCTACAGCATCACACCAGGACTCCTATTGGTATCATGAAGATTTCAAGCTTTTATCTCATGATTATTTTTCTCCATGTTCGTTTTCCTTTGAATTTTACCTGTGAAAGCGCTCACTGCTTTATGTAGTCCTGTGGAATTTGTTCCATCAGTGTGCCTCGTGCCTGTGTGGGTTTGTGGTAGCGGCCATGTGGAGTTTCAGTCACATTGTCTCAGACAGTCCCCTTTGATGTGCTGCCTTTGTGGTCATTGTTCTGGGGTCTCATGTCTCCTCACTCTCTCACCCACTTTCTGTGCCGCATCATTACTGGAATGTTAGCTCACAGCAGCTGAAGCCCAGCAGACAGGTGAGGCTGTGTTCCCAGGAGATTTACAGTGGTCCACATCCTGTCGAGGGTCGCTGTGGCTTGCACAGTGGCGGAGGGTATTTTATTCAGTGCTGGAGCTGACAGTTACGTTGTCCATCTCTGACTTTCATGGGGTGTCTCCAGTGGCCCCTGGCTGCCAGGTGACAACGACACTCCTGGTGAGGTTTTCATAGGCAACCTTTCCTGAGTGCTTGGTTTTATTACATGCAGGCCCCATGGTCAGTAGGTTTTTTTGTTTGTGGATCCTTCCTCCATGTGTGGAGTCAGCCCAGCTTGTGCAGAGAGGCCGCTGTGCTGTCTGGCTCTGCTGTGGCTGCTGCTCATGGGTTTGCGGTTCATGTGCAGCGCTGCCCGCATCTCTCCTCGCTCGGTCAGGTGCGGCTTCATCAAGGGAGATGGTCAACCAAATGTCTCCAGGTTTTGGTTTATTAGGTTAGAGAATTTTTTAATAGGATGGTTAGTCTTTGTGCATGCCCCAAACACCCCCCATTTGAAGGATTCCTGAGGAGACTCGTGTAATAACTTGTCACCATGTCCACATTTGGTGGAGATGCTGGCTTCTCTTGTACCGGTTAAGCTTTTTAAAAAATGCCCCTGAAAGCTGCTCAGTTTATTGAGTTTTTAGAAAAATGACTAGAGATTTACACAAGTATTCTGAGTAAATCCAGTATGTTCATTCCTTATCTTACGCATTTCATATTCATTGTTTTTCCCTTGAGTTAGTTTTGTGGTTTTCCTCATTCGCTTTCATTCATTCTTTCTTTTCTAATAATGAAAAACAGTCAGTACTTTGAATTTGCCTCCTGTTATTAGTGGAGTCCTGGTGTGGCGCTGTGGGCTAATGCGTCAGACTGCAAAGTCATTTGAACTGCAAGGTCGGTGGTTCAAGCTCACCAGCTGCTGAGCACCCTGGAAACCCTATATAGTTACTATGGGTCGGAATTGACTTCACACCACTTAACAACCACAACAATGGTGCTTTGGCCAGCTTTCATGTACTCTGATTCTTTGTAATGTTTCCTTTGTTGTTTTCCAGGAATACTGAATGATTTGAATCCATAGTTTCACCTCATATGACGGGGGCTTTTGTTTGTGTCTGTGTTAATGAGGCTCGCTGTAAGGTGGGTTTGGGAGACATGGTGGCTTTATGAGGCCTGCATTGAGGACGTTGTCTGTCTCTGTGCTGAGTTAGTGGAGGAGCCTTTGGGGGCTTAATGGCGCAGTGAGCTAAGTGTTGGACGACTAACCAGAGGTCAGCAGTTCGAACCCAGCAGCCGCTGTGCAGGAGAAAGCTGAGCCTGTTGGCTTCTGTAAAGACATACAACCTCCACAGTCCTTGGAGCGGTTTTACCGTGCACTGTCGGGTAGCTGTGAGTGAAATCGTTCAAACAACTATGGATTAGGGTGAATACATCGATTGCCTCTTTGACACCTACTGTTGCAAACAGCCCAGGATGAACGGATCAGTCTGTACTTGTCAGTAATCTGCATTCGTCGGGGGAGGCTGGCTAGGCATTTGTCAGAGCAGCTTCGTCTTCTTCATTACAAACAGCTGGGGTTTTAGTGTAGTTGCCAATGTTGCTAATGCTGTACCACCCTCCTTGTGCATCCTAGGAATTCTGGAAAGCAAGCGGCTGGACCTTGTGAAGGAGAAAACCATTAACCAGACCATCGGGAACGTGGTGTACCATGCGGCTGATCTGCCGATCTGGTGGCAGCTCCCTCAGTACGTGCTGATCGGGATCAGCGAGATCTTCGCCAGTATAGCAGGTGAAGTGCCTTAAAAAGCCCCCACCGTGTCTGCAAGTCTCGGCTGGAACTAGTAAAAACTGGCATGATTTACGACGCTGTACGACTATGCTGAGACAGAAAGAGCTTGGCACGTGTGTGTTGTGGCCCAGTAGTTGTGGTTCCGAATAGAAATTCACAGGATGCTCTGCTGAAGACCAGTGTGGGCGCTTCTGAACAGAACCGGCGGCAGAGACGGCTGGGTGGGCAGTCGTGAGCCGCAGGGCATAGTGCCCAGCACAGAGCAGCACAGCTTTGTCCCCGGGAGTGAGGGAGCAGGCTGACTTCAGTGCTGTTCACAAGCACCCTCCCTCCACACCACAGCCATGCCCTCTGGACTCGGGGAAGGGAAAGTCAGTCACGACACAATCGTCTCTCACTTGGACTCCCTTCCGTGGGGTCACTTGCGGGGTGTGGACCGCAGCAGGTGACGCTGTAGAGACAGGAGGGGTGGGTGATACCCACGTGACTGCCCCTCTGTTAGGTATAACAGCACAAGCTCGTGGCGGAGGCTCGTGGCTGCTTTATGGTTTCCCTTCTGATGTCCTCGGGACATAGCTGCCACTGTTCCCAGTTACAACACTCACGTGCACACAGTTCCTTGCTGTCAGTGTTTTTATAGTTGCGCAGTTTTTCAAACTTTCTGGTGCTTTAGCTACCATATTGTGTTAGTATTTGTGAACCTATTATCAATAACTTGGCAGAATGAAGTAGTAATAAAAGAAGAAAAGTTACGAAAGGTCCCTCCCTGCTCAGTTATTAATACTGTAATTGGATGGATGCAGAACAATTTTTTCTTATTTTTTAAGTTTTTATTGTGAATTAAGTGATAGTTTACATGGGAGAACATTAGCATTACATTCTTCCTATCGTATTTCATTTCATTGGAATCATTACACTCCTCTCCATGCATGATCAAACAACCCAAGGGCACACACCTCTCAAACCTGCCCCGTGACCACCAGCACACAGCCCCTTTCCCTCCCTGACTCCAGAGTCCCTAGCCACTCTGTCTCTCCACGTCATCGTCTCTGCCTCCATCTCTGGCGTCACTGCATCTCTGGGTAGGGACCCGCACTACACTCTTCTCCCTTGATGGTCGCAGGGACCTCCGCTTCTGGACTGCAAGATCAACCACTTGCCTCCTTTTGTTACAAAGTGTCTAACTTTACAATTCCAACCCTCACAGTCAGTCCTCATAGCATTCATTCACTATTCTACCACAAGTGTATTATCCCCATCTCCTTTCATCAGCCCCCTCCCAACAGATTAGAAACCACTTGGTGTAGATTCTACCTTCCTCAGCCCCCTTGTAAGCCAGTCACTTCTTCCCTTTGTAGCCCCCCATTGTGGGTAGCCAATGCCCAAGTTGCCCATCCCTGTCAACCCTTTGTCCCGAGGGGGTGGGAAGGATCCTCGCTGTAAAGATTTGTTCCCTCTTTTAAGCTACTACATCCATGAGTATAGGTGAACTTCATCAAATTGTAGCTGATTATTCTTTATGAATAGCAGAGAAACAAAGTATGAATCTGGGAAAATTGGAAGTTGTCAAAAATGAACTGGAACGCATAAACTTTGATCTCTTAGGCATTAGTGAGCTGAAGTGGACTGGTATTGGCCATTTTGAATCTGACAACCACATGGTTTACTATGCCGGGAATGACAAATTGAAGAGGAATGGTGTTGCATTCATCGTCAAAAAGAACATATCCAGATCAGTCATGAGGTACAGTGCTGTATATGATAGGATAATA